AGACCAAGACTACCTTTTCAGGTGAAGCCTGTGTTTCTTTAGTTTACCTGTTCGTCTAAAACTGTACAAATGCAGTAGGTGTGATGAAAAGACCCCGAAACAAAATGATTGTAAAAAGCATGAACAAAAACCAATGACGGACAGACAGTTCCCTAGAGATTACCTTCATCTGAAACCACAAAAAATGCAGTTCCAGTTTGGTTATAATTCTAGTTTTCACATAAATCTTTTTCCTCTGGAAAGTGTGTCACAGACATTCAATCACAAATCCCAAACGTTATCTACTATATTGTTTTCTTCTCACTGGAAGTACTATGGAGAGTTGTATTGCATTACCAGAGAGGGCAGCATTTTTATGGACTGAGACAGCACCAGCATGAGCTCACGGTGGCAGACAAAGTAACCTAATCCCCAGGGCAGCCTGCTAAAATCACAGGGCTCTGCTGCCTTCTGGAATGTACTCTGTAGGCAGGCACACTCGAGCCGCACTGCACAACTCCGTCATACCCCGAACTTCCCCAAGAATCATGTCGGCTTCATTTTCACATCAGTCCAGAAAACCCTGGAGAGACAAAACTCATCCAAGCCACCAGTCATCCCGGATTCTCTCATAACAAATCAACAGTGCAGCAGCAAAGGGTCATGGGAGATGTGGCAGGCCAGCTGTGGGACAGGAAGTGCAGACACCGAGCAGAGTAAAGGATGAGAAAGTGACGCAATTCGACAGAGCACTGGCTTGACCCGAGACATTCAGGAGAGGGCAGCACACAGGACACTCCAGTTAATGTTTTTGGCTTTACTTTGAACTGCAAAATACCTCTGATGGGGGGAGTTAGTTTAAAAGACTGTAAAATGGCTGTGAGTGTGCAAGCACTCGTGACAGCATTTGGTTAAGCGCCCTGAGGGATCGCCCACTACACTTGAGAATTGCCAAAAATAGCTCTGTGGTTTGTGTCCTTTGAGAATTGATGATTTACTCTCATTTGAAATATTAGCTTGTTACTTTGATAAAATTAGAAACTTGTAATATAAAGATGCACTTCAGAAACCTTTTTAAATATTGTGTTTATTACGTCTTTGTGGGTCATTTTAGTTCTGGGAAATGGAAATGCGCGTATGAAAATAAACAAAACAATTGACAAAAATAGCAAGATAATGCGTAAAGGATGCATTACATTTTACAATTGTGACTCTGGTCTGTGAAAAGGCGGTATATAAATAAAGATTACTTACTTACTGTGATGCAATGCTGTTTAAGGAGACTTTCCACAATTACAAATTTCACACAATTTGGCTAAATTCAGAAGTATCCTTTTAATTTAATGTTAATTTAAATACACCAAGTTATCAATCTATTACACACAATGCTGTTAAGAGATTCAAGTTGAGTGGACTAACGTTGGCAAAGCGGACCTCAGAGAAGGAAACACATCCCATCTGTTACAAGAAGCCCCACAAAAGATAATGGCTCTCTGGGAGAAAGGATCTATTTCTCGAGACATCCACCAACCTCCTTTAGCAGAGTGTATACATCCACACCCGCCGGTCGCTGCAGCAGTCACCAGTCGTAATAGTGCTGGGTGGTCTATTTACTTGCAGCTACTGGTTCAATTGCAGCCACATCCAAGACATCTGAAATAAAGACAAAAGTTAAAATAAACATTTCAGGTTGCCTCAAAAGTTAAACCCACTCTTGGGGATTTCCAAAAAAATAGTAATTCAAGTCTAGAAAGCAGAAGGATGGTGAGACATTGGCTTATATGGTGATATTTTCTCTAAAAAGATACAAGACACTTTTACAAGAAATTGTCAAAGAACAAAAAAACAAAAGTATTTATACTAGAATATTCTGAAACGACTGAAACTATGGAGAAGCTGCAGTTAACATGGACACTCATTCATCAATCACAAAAAGGTGAAATGGATACTGTGACTTCCTGTTCATTCTCACAAATATGAGCCCTAGGGTCGAACATCCACTTGGGACAGAAGTTTGAGAGAGACACATGTTGAGACTTGCACCCAACAACTCAAGCATAAAATATCTGGATTGTTCAGTCATTCAAGGGAAATACAAACACTAATAAATGTCAGTAATTACATCAGAGAATACGCAGGAATGCAATACACACATCCTCATTTTAACAACCACAGCAATAAGGGGAAATACCTAATGAACAAATAAAAAAAGGAAGTAAGACTTAATAGTATTTATATTAACCACACTGAGATTGTTTATTGTACGTGTCCTACATTTTCACTTAAATATGGAACAAAATCCATTTTTGTGCAATTCTAATGCAACCGAGAGAATAAACTCCATGGAGATATGTTGTATGTTTTATATTACTTACAGTATATGACACGTTCTTGTCTACAGTATTTAATGGTGTTTTTATCCAAATCTAGACATTTTGTTGTCAAGAGAAAAAAACATCATCATTTTAAATCATGGATCACATATTTGACAGTAAGATCCACAGATGACCTGTAACATGGCTTGGTGGTGCCATCTGCTTGTTGCTGGATAGATCATGTGTAACATTCAAGAAGAATATGGACATTTAGACTAATGTTTTTTATCATGTTATATTTTTATTAACCAACTCAATCCTACAAATGTAATTACTTCAAGGGTTGTTTGGTAGGTGGTAATGAGGTAGGTGGTAAAAAGCACAATCAGAAGACAACAGGGAGTCATGTTGCCATGAACTGTACTCAACAGTTATGTAAACTACTGTAAAAACACCAAACGACCCTGTGCAAAATGATTAGCCCTCTTGTCCTCCCCCACTCCCATTTAGAAAAAGGCCAAAGGTCATTCTTTTCTCACCTCCCCAAATCCTTCGTGATAGAAGGTGTCTGTCAAGGGGACAAATGAGGCACATAGCCTGACAGGCTTTACATACTACAGAGGACAACACATGCAACAAGTAATACAATAGTACAATAGTATCAGCCTACATGGTGACACGGATTTGAACTTGCCATCCATCTCCTGCTAAGTCAGGGACAAGAACACTTTGATGAAGATATGGACTGACTCTAGTTTGTGTTGAACTGATGAGCATCAGGACTCAGGAGCATCAGGAGCATCAGGAGCATCAGGAGCATCAGGAGCATCAGGAGCATCAGGAGCATCAGGAGCATCAGGAGCATCAGGAGCTGGTGGAAAATGGCTTCGTTTCCACACGTTGTAGCTGGTTAAACAGTATGGACTGCTCCTATTCCTCCAATAAACTAAACTATACCAACAAATGCCAAACACATTCGGTTCCCATATTAAACCTCATAATGACACATTATGGAGGCTTTAAACTTGACACAACATCAGGGTAAACATATGTATATATGATAACGGAGTCATATGGAGACCTCCAGCTAGCTGCTCCTGGAGAAGTGTGTTAGCCATGTCGCGCTGATCAAATGCTTTTGTTAGCCATATGTCGATGGACAGTCGATGAATCAAAAATAATAATAATAATATGTGTGTGTGTGTGTGTGTGTCTCTGTAGCTCAGATCCAAGCTCACAGCGCATCTTACCTGTGGTAACGTGAGTCCGTTTGTTTTCTCCGACAGTGATAATGACTGTAAATGCCATGGAAAAAAGAGAGATGATGTGCCACTGCCAAGTACATTCGGCATCACAACAAGCGGCCAGATGTTCATGAGTCTCAAAATGCTAATATAGCGGATGGAAACCTTTGCCTCGATGCAGTGGCATCATTTCATTTCTGAGCATGTCTCTGCATAGCGGCTAGCCCAGGCTACAGCTAGCTGCCGCTAGCTATTCAGACCGCAAGTCCCGCCCTCTTGTATGGTTGGTTTACACATACCTGTTGTGTGATTGGACGGCGGACCCATCCATCATATACACTGCAGCTCTTGGGTTTTTGCATTCATGTTGCAGCTGCAGCTTAGTATTCATCACAATTAATTGTCATGCACACTGTACTGCTCCAGCGGGGCAGGGTGTATGTACTAAGCCAATGTGTTCTAAGCTGTTTTTGTACTTTCTTTATGGAAACAGACAAAGTTTATTTAGGATTGTAAACCAAGATCAAGATTGTTGATCAAGATTATACATTGTTCATAGCGGTTACAAAAGAAGTCAATATCACAAGGTCTAGAACTTGTGGTATACTTTAGTCATAATTATAACTTACAAAGGAAAAGATGCACGGAGGCCTGTGAGACCCTGTGCTAAGGCCCGGTCCTCAACAACCATGGTTTTGCATGCCCCCTGCTGGACTCTTCATACAACATCTGCACTGTCTCTAGTAAGCCAATTATAGTTTTATTCTGGTATAGCACTACGTGGAAAAGAAAAAAGAATAAATGGTAGGAACTGAAAAACTGATCATCAGCAATGTCCACTAATATCTCATCAATTCACTACATTCTGTAAATATGATATTATAACAATAACAATCAAAATAGAGCACTCATGGCATGTAAGGATTTACAACTATGTGTTACCAAAAGACAGCTATTGGCAAAGAGATCATTTGAGCTGGTGAGCTCCCAAACCATGTACATGAATTAATAAATATAAAATGAATTAGATGAAAACCTAAAAGCGAGAAAGTCATGGTTATTGAACAAAGTCCTACAATTGACTTTGAATGTGGTATTTATTTTATTATCTGGTTTCTTGTATGGTACCTGGGCTCACATTTATAGTACAGTGCAAGTGTGGCAGTGCAACAACAGATAATAACATATAACATTGCTTATGGCATTTCCGTCTTGGTCATCAAAGTCGGCATTCTCTTATGCCACAGCTGGCCTTCATTTCACTAAGTGAAAGAAGTATTGTTTTGTTTTGGTAGAGGAAATAGTCATTTAACATTAGTCTTTTATCACAGACAAATATTAAGACATTAGATAAATAAACCAGCACTCTGCAAACGACACAATACAAAATCATCAATGATCCAGACATTCATTAAACTGCACAACCAAGCAACACTGTAAACATAGACTGAAACTGTGACTTTCATTTGATGGGTGAGTCGAGGATCTCCTGGTAGTCCTGCCTCATGGCTCGGCTCACCCTGTACAACTTAACTCCGGTCAGTGTGAACACAGAGACCATGATGAGCAGGGCCCCGATCACATCATACACAGACGGGATCATCCTGAGCACAATGAGCTGCAGGAACATGGCCACCACGATCTCCAAATGCTGCACAGTGCTGACTAAGGCTGGGTGGAATTTGTTTAGAGCATAGTAGACTCCCAAGAATGCCACTGTGGAGCAAATGCAGATTCCTGTGAGATAGCCCCAGGTTTCCATATCAAGAGGAATGATGGGCTCCTGCATGATGAACATAGTGGAGGCTCCCCACACGGTGCCTGTCCAGCCAAAGGTGAAGAGTGCAGTCCACATGCTCACCCGCTCTTTTAAGGCCCTGTAGACTATCATGGACAGAGCTGCAGTTAAACCTGCCATCACTGTCATTGTATAACCAAACGCCTCTTTCCAAAAGCCCAGCCGAGACTTCTCCTCATCTGCGATGTTGGGCACCATCACAAGGCATAAGCCAAACACACTGCCCACAACAGTGACCACGTCTGTGTAGCCCAGACGCTCGTCCAGCAGCAGGAAAGCTAGGATGGCACTGAACACAGTGGTGGATGCTCGCCACATGATTGTGCCATTACTGGGTGGAACAATGGCAAAGGAGGTGTAGGCGCAGGTGATGGAGATCACATTGCATATGCCATAGAAGAAGAGCTTAAGCCTGTAGCCCTTGGGGCCAAAGGGAGGCTCATGAAGGTAGAGGACCACAAGGATGGACAGCACTTGAATGACAGAGCGAATGAAGAGCAGCTCCAGGGAGGGCACTTTGGAGCGGTCTGCTGCCAAACGTGTGATCAAAGACACACAACCATGTGCTGCTGCTGCTCCAAACAGGGCCATCCATGTCACTTTAGAGGCCAGTACATTGGCCTCCCCAAAGCTGGCAAGTTGACCCTCCACCCCCTTGTCCTTTGGTGCACTGGGCTGCTTAGCCGGTGTATCCATAGTCCCAAATAAAGTCCTGCCTCCTTTATTCTCTGTGACCAGTCTCTTTCCTACAGTGGCCTCTGCAAAGGCCCCAAATTCCTCAAAGGAAGGTGCATCATCGTAGCCCTCGTCCCCAGGCTGAGGGAAGTGTGTGGCATATTTGACTGTCACTGCATTTGGGTGGATCTTCACCCGCTTTTTAGATCCATTCTGCGGGGAAGGTGAGGATCCGTCCATGTTTCTTTGGGTGTCAGATGTCAAGTCTAAACATGAAAAAAGAAAACAGATATAATAGTTACAACAATATAAGTGAAGATTTTACTCTTGTTGAATTCATTTGGCCACAGCCCCTACTCGAGAGCACACCAGAGTGAAAAAGACTTTCTTTTCGCTTACTGTATACTGTAAGTAAGTTACCTTTTAACTCGCCTCAGTCTCACACAAGTGTCTATATATATCCCATGCAAGCTCATATAAGCAGCAAACATTGTGAGGCTGATGCAGAGTGATGGGATGAAATTACATAACAGGAAGTCACACAGGGAACAATCTGAATGTGGGCCATTTATGATGAATGAAGCAGTCAGTGAAATGTGCAAAATGTACAAAATCAGTGTGTGATGAACATTGAGTTTACATTTAAAATAAATATCTATTGGTCTATTTTAAAAAGAAATGTGACAATGGAAAATTATTCACAGAATTGAACAACGTAAGGCAGAGATTACACCATTTGAAACAGAGTAATACATCTAGTATTTCCCACAACAATGAATAAATACATAACACATACGAAATCCTGTTTCTTTGAACTTAATCTCAGGATGAGCCGAGGGAAAGCCACAAGGGGGCAGATAGATACAGAATTTCGCTTTCAAACTAGGGGTTGTTCCTACATTTAAAATATTCATTCATTCAACGTGAAAAACGACGGATTTGTATTAGAACTAGTCTACCTACAACACCAATTATAAACATATTTATGTTTTGAACGCTGACATGACGTTGTTTTGTGAATCTTACACATCTGTCCAAAGATGTTAAAAACGTGTTTAAGGAGTGGTGAGTTAGCTCGTTTATTTATACACATCTGTATATATACTGCATATTTCACGAAGAATAATGACTCACATGTATGAAAATAGACGGTCGATAATAAACAGTGTCGGACAAAGTCTGGGCACGTCTTACCTTTTGGCTTCTAATAGTCCTTCTTAATGCGTGTATCTGTTCCTTTGTCATAAATAAATAGTTGTCTTAATGCCTTGCTCCGTACATTGGGTCCAGTGCAGCTGCCATTCCCCCATGTTCCCTTCGTGTGGAGCGCCTCTTGAAGACGCGACTGCTCTCTGCATGCGCCGCTTGCAGCCGCAGCGTCTTGCTCCAAAGAAGCAAAAAGCATCACGCAAGCTGCTCCTACTGATGGTGATGAGGAGGAGGAGGATGAAGATGAGGAGGGGGGGAGGGGGAGGGACTGTCACTGTCACAGGCACGGCTTCACTATGTCCCTTTACCACACGCGTATAGGCACTGACTGCTAATAAACATATATTTAGTAAGATCTAACGTGTTTTTCAAGGCGGTGTGCTAAAACATGCGTACACATTTAAGTCAGGTGTGGAGGAAGTGGGACCTGTGAAGCCAATCTAGTGACTGAAAGTCCAATCATGATGCGCGGATTAAAAAGGGAAGAACGGAAAAGAGCAAATGTGCAGTATGAATCCAAAAGCCACTGATGAAGTGAGGCTGCAGAATCATGGAGCCCTCTGTGGGGCTCTGTGGAGAAGACATTCACATATGCGACAGTTCCACAGCAGAGCAACAGGAGGCTGGTGTGGGGTATGCCTCATGAGTCCCCTTGGTCAATTTCGAGTTCATGGATTGATAAAGTTTTTAGCTACCAGGCTCCTTTACTGTGGAATCAGCTTCCCAGACGCAGGCAGTCTCAAGGCCAGGCTTAAAACAGTCCCCTTTAATTTCACATATTGTTAGGTATAAGTAAAACTTAAAATCATACACAACCAGTATTAAAAGTTGAAGTCCGAATTATATTATATACATTATAAAAACTAATTGCATGCAAATATTTGATCGAAGCAGGGCAAGGCAGGTGTATACAAGGCAACTCAAAGTGCTTTTAAAAAACACAAAAAGAAACATTAAAATCACACAAGTAATTCAAATTATCATGGATCATGGGAAGGATTGTTATCAACCAATCTGTAAAGCACTTTGTTTCGCATTATCTGTATGAAAAATGCTTTATAAATGAAATGTGATTGATTGATTGATTGGTTTAACGTTGACTTAAACAGGCTTCATGTTTACTGACAGGTGATGTATTCTCCAACACAGCACAAAAAAGTATTCACGTTTTTAAAAATGTCTCTTGACAGTCAAGTGAGAGATTTGTGTTTTAAAAAGGGTTTCTGAAGAGGTTCAGGGTTGGAATAGATTTTTGCTTTTGTGATTAAATAGCTAAGTAGTTTTGGGTTGCTGGAAAAACCAAGTATGTTTCGTATTGATCATCGCTCTCATAGCCTCCTGGAAGCCATATTTATTTGCTGTTCTGACAAAGGCTATACTCACCATTGATTAAGCCGTAATATCTGTGGTTTATGAGGTACAAAGCAGGTGACAGCAAATATGATGATTTATTGGGAATCTAAAATGACACAGGATGCATCTAGTGACATACTACTGGTGTTTTATGGAATAGAAAGGGTAAAACACAGTACACGTGAAAAAAAGAAATGCTTATTGAATTGAAGTTCACCTTTTGGTATGCATTAAGCCTCTACAAGCAAATCCTTCTCCTCTACTACATAATAGAATTTAGGAAATTGGATTGGCTTTTCCCTTTCTTAGTGGCCAGTGATGGACAGTGAGTGCAATCATCTTTTCCTATATATCCTTTTGATATAAATTGGCATGAAGAACACACCCCTTTTACAATGTCTCTTTAGTCCACTGGAATCAAAATTTTATCAGTTATCACTGTTATTTTTGAATACAAATTTAGATTTAACAGCCAAGCCGTCATCATTTTACCATAATGAAATTCTAATTAATTTATAGCTCATCACCTTAAAGAAGAGGCTACCCACTGAGAGGTACCATGGCAACACATTTACACATGCAGCAATACTGGTTACTCCACATGAATAAAATATCAGGATTAGTTACAAGAGCTTAATTGAGTTGTTGCCACATGTTCATATAATAATTTAATTCTTTGTTCTGAAACATATGAAATCATCTCTCAGCCTCACAGTTGCTCTCCTTTCCTAAGCGCCAAAGTGTTGTTCACATTTCTAACAATAACTTTATTCCCCACAGTGGTGAGAAATCAGGGCTTTTCTCCTGATTTGCATGCCCCAAACCAAACAGTGACGCCTTCATCTCATGTGACTCATTCAAAGACTGGCACTGGTCTAAAAATATAGTTATTTCAATAATTCATTAGAAAAAGAGGGTTCCCGTTTAGGGGGTATAAGAAAAATCCAGTTATTCTCCAACTTCCGAATCCCTCTGCACTACACACTCATGATAGCAGTCCAATTAGACGGAGAAACCATGCTCTCCTTTTGCACAGTGATGATGAGTGCTAACACTTTCCTCACAGCCTGAGCGATGTTATCAGTTTGTCAGTAGAGTCGAGGCTCTAACACGGTAATTTCATTCCCTAGCTTCTGCCTGCAGAGGTTTTTATAATATGTTTCACTGGTATTTAGGTTTAGGTTCTTTGTTTCAGTTGTCATTGAATAGTCTGCCGCACTTCGCTGCCAAACTTGCAAAAATGTTTAGAGATTAACAGATTTGGCTCCAGATTCCTGCCCATGGAGCCTGTTTGCGCCAGCTATAAACATATTGTTCTGCAATAAGGCAAACGCTGCAGGTGACATCAGCGCTCGGTCAGTACACTCCTTCTACAGGCTATGAATTGAGTGGAAAAATGTGTGCTCAGTCCCTTTACTTGTGGCTGTTCATATACAGTACAATGGGGGGCAAAAAAATGGTCAGCCACCAAATGTGCAAGTCCTCCATTAAAAAAGATGTGAGATGTCCTTTTCATCATATGTATACCTCAACTGTGAGAGACACAATGAGAAAAATAAATCCAGAAAGATCACATCATCTGGTTTATGAAGAATGTATTTGCAAATTATGGTGGAAAATAAGTATTTAGTCACGCACAAACAAGCAACACAGGCTCTCACAGGCCTGTAACCTCTTTGTCCTCCACTGGTTACTTGTATTAATGACACCAGCTTGTACTTGTAATCTGTATTAAAGACGCCTATCCACAATCTAAAACTGTCACACTCCAAACTCAACTATGGCCAAGACCAAGGAAGCACCAGAAACAAAGTTGTAGACCTGCACCAGGCTGGGAAGACTGAAGTATCGAGATCAGAATTGGAAATGTAAAAGCTGGATCCCCATTTCCTACACTGATCTCTGTCACTCCCAGTTGAACAGAACTAAATATAACCGCCCAAAATTCTTTCTGACAAGCCTTGCCTTCGTCAGTAACACAGGTGCAATCAAAGATGTTCACCGTGCTCCTTCCTGTCAGTCGGATATGATCTCTGTGGCATTTTAGACAATTTTTTAACCCCTGGGCTGCGGATACAAAAAGCAGAGGAGATAAGATGTCTAGGCAAGGCACTGCTTCGACTATACCCATTGTAATGTATTAGACTTACAGAATGGACAAGCCCTTTTCTTAAAATAACATTAGGAGCATCTGGAGGAGCAGCGCTTGGCCTCAGGTGCTTCACTCTATCGCCGGGTCTGTGATTAAGCCTCGGTCGGCGCTGGTTTTGATTAACCTTGGTCTCAACCCTTTTAAAGCCCACTCCAGACCAGCCTTAGATCTGATGCAGTCCCAGCCATGCAGTGAGCAAAGTTCCTTGGAGAATATTCAAATAGAGGACATCATCAAAACGATAGACATAATTATTGTTGTAATACAGCTTTGTATAGGACTGGCGAACTCAAGAGGAAGAAAAATTCATAAGTTGAGGTTGAAAAGATTCGCAAAGTACCATAGAAACAATAACTCCAAACATCTCCAAGCAACAACTTTATCATCTTGCAGAGAATTTGTTTGATAATATATATTTTAAGCTGAACATTGGTAGAGATGCTGTCAATTCTTGCAAGAACAGAAAAACCATACATGTTTGATGATTTTGTACTTGTTTTATGTTTTGTAAAGCCATGTTTGGCAT